CCATTAAGATATTGGCGGAGACATTCAACATTTCTATCTTCCCTTTTCCATTCATTTTCTCCATGCGATCAAAAACGGAATAGTCCATTATTTATGAGATATTGGCAGGAGACATTCAACATTTCTATCTCCTATTTTGTCTTTCATTAATTTTCTCACCCCATCTTTTGTCTTCCATTATTTATTCAGATATTCAACATTTCTCATGAAATTCATTTCTCACTGAAACCGAGTAGTGACTTTTCCCTTCTTTCTACGCGATCAAAACGGAATAGTCCATTATTTATGAGATATTGGCAGGAGACATTCAACATTTCTATCTTCCTTTTGTCTTTCATTCATCTTCTCACTGAAACCGAGTAGTGACTTTTCCCTTCTTTCTACGCGATCAAAACGGAATAGTCCATTATTTATGAGCTACTGGCAGGAGATATTCAACATTTCTATCATCCCTGTTGTCTTTCAGAAACCGAGTATTTTTCCCTTCTTTCTACGCGATTAGTCCATTATTCATGAGATATTGGCTTCAACATTTCTATCTCCCCTTTGTCTTTCATTCATTTTCTCACTGAAAACTATTGACGCGATCAAAACGGAATAGTCCATTATTTATGAGATATTGGCAATTTCTATCACCCTTTTGTCTTTCATTCATTTCTCACTGAAACGGAGTAGTGACTTTTCCCTTCGTTCTACGCGATCAAAACGGAATAGTCCTTTATTTATGAGATATTGGCAGGAGACATTCAACATTTCTATCTTCCTGTTGTCTTTCATTCATTTTCTCCATGAAACCTAGTAGTGACTTTTCCCTTCTTTCTACGCGATCAAAACGGAATAGTCCATTTTTTATATTGACTTTCCTTTTTGTCTTTCATTCATTTTCTCACTGAAACCAGTACGACTTTTCCATTCTTTCTAATCAAAACAGAATTCCATTATTTATGAGTTATTGGCACTTTTCTATCTCCCTTTGTCTTTCATTAATTTTCTCACTGAAAGCAGTAGTGACTTTTCCCATCTTTCTACGCGATCAAAACGGAATAGTCCATTATTTATGAGATATTGGCAGGAGATATTCAACATTTCTATCTTCCCTGTTGTCTTTCATTCATTTTCTCACTGAAACCTAGTACTGACTTTTCCCTTCTTTGTACGCGATCAAAACGGAATAGCCCATTATTTATGAGCTATTGGCATGAGACATTCAACATTTCTATCTTCCCTGTTGTCTTTCATTCATTTTCTCACTGAAAGCGAGTAGTGACTTTGCCCATCCTTCTACGCGATCAAAACGGAATAGTCCATTATTTATGAGCTATTGGCAGGAGACATTCAACATTTCTATCTTCCCTGTTGTCTTTCATTCATTTTCTCACTGAAAGCGAGTAGTGACTTTTCCCTTCTTTCTACGCGATCAAAACGCAATAGTCCATTTTTTATGAGCTATTGGCAGGAGACATTCAACATTTCTATCTCCCCTTTTCTCTTTCATTCATTTTTCTCACTGAAAGCGAGTTTCCTTTCCTTCTACGTGACAAAACGGAATTCCCTTTTGGCTTCTTCGCCTTCATTCATTTTCTCATCAAAACAAAACGGATAGTCCATTATTTATGAGCTATTGGCAGGAGACATTCAACATTTCTATCTTCCCTGTTGTCTTTCATTCATTTTCTCCTGGAGACATTTCCCTTCTTTCTACGCAATCAAACGGAATACTCCATTATTTATGAGCTTTGGCCATTCAACTTTCTATCTTCCCTGTTGTCTTTCATTCATTTTCTCACTGAAACCGAGTATTGACTTTTCCCTTCTTTCTACGCGATCAAAACGGAATAGTCCATTATTTATGAGATATTGGCAGGAGACATTCAACATTTCTATCTCCCCTTTTGTCTTTCATTCATTTTCTCACTGAAACCGAGTATTGACTTTTTCCTTCTTTCTACGCGATCAAAACGGAATAGTCCATTATTTATGAGATATTGGCAGGAGACATTCAACCTTTCTATCTCCCCTTATGTCTTTCATTCATTTTCTCACTGAAACCGAGTAGTGACTTTTCCCTTCTTTGTACGCGATCAAAACGGAATAGTCCATTATTTATGAGATATTGGAAGGAGACATTCTACATTTCTACCTTCCCTGTTGTCTTTCATTCATTTTCTCACTGAAAACGAGTATTGACGTTTCCCTTCTTTGTACGCGGTCAAAACGGAATAGTCCATTATTTATGAGATATTGGCAGGAGATATTCAACATTTCTATCTCCCCTTTTGTCTTTCATTCATTTTCTCACTGAAATCGAGTAGTGACTTTTCCCTTCTTTCTACGCGATCAAAACGGAATAGTCCATTATTTATGAGATATTGGAAGGAGACATTCAACATTTCTATCTTCCCTGTTGTCTTTCATTCATTTTCTCCATGAAACCGAGTAGTGACTTTTCCCTTCTTTCTACGCGATCAAAACGGAATAGTCCATTATTTATGAGCTATTGAAAGGAGACATTCAACATTTCTATCTTCCCTGTTGTCTTTCATTCATTTTCTCACTGAAACCGAGTACTGACTTTTCCCTTCTTTCTACGCGATCAAAACGGAATAGTCCATTATTTATGAGATATTGGCAGGAGACATTCAACATTTCTATCATCCCTGTTGTCTTTCATTCATTTTCCCACTGAAACCGAGTAGTGACTTTTCCCTTCTTTCTACGCGATCAAACCGGAATAGTCCATTATTTATGAGATATTGGCAGGAGACATTCAACATTTCTATCTTCCCTTTTGTCTTTCATTCATCTTCTCACTGAAAGCGAGTAGTGACTTTTCCCTTCTTTCTACGCGATCAAAACGGAATAGTCCATTATTTATGAGCTACTGGCAGGAGATATTCAACATTTCTATCATCCCTGTTGTCTTTCATTCATTTTCTCACTGAAACCGAGTATTGACTTTTCCCTTCTTTCTACGCGATCAAAACGGAATAGTCCATTATTCATGAGATATTGGCAGGAGACATTCAACATTTTTATCTCCCCCTTTGTCTTTCATTCATTTTCTCACTGAAAACGAGTATTGACTTTTCCCTTCTTTCTACGCGTTCAAAATGGAATAGTCCATTATTTATGAGATATTGGCAGGAGACATTCAACATTTCTATCACCCCGTTTGTCTTTCATTCATTTTCTCACTGAAACCGAGTAGTGACTTTTCCCTTCTTTCTACGCGATCAAAACGGAATAGTCCATTATTTATGAGATATTGGCAGGAGACATTCAACATTTCTATCTTCCCTGTTGTCTTTCATTCATTTTCTCCATGAAACCTAGTAGTGACTTTTCCCTTCTTTCTACGCGATCAAAACGGAATAGTCCATTTTTTATGAGCTATTGACAGGAGACATTCAACATTTCTATCTTCCCTGTTGTCTTTCATTCATTTTCTCACTGAAACCGAGTACTGACTTTTCCCTTCTTTCTACGCGATCAAAACGGAATAGTCCATTATTTATGAGTTATTGGCAGGAGACATTCAACATTTCTATCTCCCCTTTTGTCTTTCATTAATTTTCTCACTGAAAGCGAGTAGTGACTTTTCCCATCTTTCTACGCGATCAAAACGGAATAGTCCATTATTTATGAGATATTGGCAGGAGATATTCAACATTTCTATCTTCCCTGTTGTCTTTCATTCATTTTCTCACTGAAACCGAGTACTGACTTTTCCCTTCTTTGTACGCGATCAAAACGGAATAGCCCATTATTTATGAGCTATTGGCATGAGACATTCAACATTTCTATCTTCCCTGTTGTCTTTCATTCATTTTCTCACTGAAAGCGAGTAGTGACTTTTCCTTTCCTTCTACGCGATCAAAACGGAATAGTCCATTATTTATGAGCTATTGGCAGGAGACATTCAACATTTCTATCTTCCCTGTTGTCCTTCATTCATTTTCTCACTGAAAGCGAGTAGGGACTTTTCCCATCTTTCTACGCGATCAAAACGGAATAGTCCATTATTTATGAGCTATTGGCAGGAGACATTCAACATTTCTATCTTCCCTGTTGTTTTTTATTCATTTTCTCACTGAAACCGAGTAGTGACATTTCCCTTCTTTCTACGCGATCAAAACGGAATACTCCATTATTTATGAGCTATTGGCAGGAGACATTCAACATTTCTATCTTCCCTGTTGTCTTTCATTCATTTTCTCACTGAAAGGGAGTAGTGACTTTTCCCTTCTTTCTACCCGATCAAAACGGAATAGTCCATTATTTATGAGCTATTGGCATGAGACATTCAACATTTCTATCTTCCCTGTTGTCTTTCATTCATTTTCTCACTGAAAGAGAGTAGTGACTTTTCCCTTCTTTCTAAAACGGAATAGTCCATGATTTATAAGTTATTCGCAGGATATAACGGCCGAGCAAACTAAAGAAGTGAGGGACAAGCACAATTATGTTATAATAATAATAATATTTATTATATATTTTTAACCGATGTGACAATACAGAATCACGATGTCACAAATCGGAACTCTTTCACAGGCGCAATAGCCGTCTATTATATAGGAGACACACGTATCCCATCTTTCTCTACCGTGTATATTGTTTATTTTCCGCAGCAAACATGGTTACTGAAACTTGCGGCCCTAACCACTTCATAAAAACGGTATTTAATTGAGTGAAAGTAAGAATTTATTTTCCGGTTAAAGAAATATTATGGAAGCTGTGCCAATTGCACGGTGAAAATGTTGACCTGCATATATGTTTCATAACTGTAGTTTATGGCCGTTCTATTATCTTTTCAGGTTATCTAATTGTACGTTTTGTATTTTACATCCTTTCTGATATAATGTCTGTGTTGACATATTTATGAGCACTTATTTAAATATTAATCATCTTATAGATTTATCTTCACGTCGCATACAAACAAGCCGATGCGAGAATGACGCCAATGGCCACTCAATTTAGGTTTCCTGCCAAAAGTATGCGAGATGATAATCTTATACATTGTATGTTTAGTTTGTTTCTCCAGAACTGGAAGCTGCGAGTGGATATCTATCTATCTATCTATCTATCTATCTATCTGTCAATTGTTCTTATATAGGTACGGTTAGAAAAGTTGGCGAATTTGAACGCACAGACTGAATGTAGTACGAACATTTGTCGCTACTCTAGATGTGCAATATAATTTAGGAGTCAGCTTGCTAACTGTCGTGGTGTCCTGCCTCTAAAGAGTCTATGTTGAACTATTCTACCTACTATAAGATTAGTAGCAGGGAAGGCCTTGGGGAAACAGTCTACCAGACTGTTCATCTGTCGAACTCTCTGCCTTGAGCTGAGAGAAACCCGGACGAGGCCTTGTCCCACATACATCCCTCGTTGTGGCGGGGGCTGCTAAATATTAAAGTCGACCAGACATTTTTGTCGAACTCTCTGCCTTGAATTGAGAGAAACCCGGACGAGGCGTTGCAGAAGGGCGAAGTTTCGTCCGGGGAAGTAGACAGGCCCTGAACCCATTTATATGTCTTCAAAGGGAACTTTTTTGGCGGAGCCTACGGGCTCGGAGGACCCACAGTAAACTCCGCCTTTTGCCACATACATCCCTCATGGTGGGGGTTGTTAAATATAACGTTCGACCTGACTGTTCGTAACTGTCGAACTCTCTGCCTCGGCAGAGAGGAACACAGACGAGACTTTGCCGCCTCGCAAAGTTTTGTCCGGGGTGGTAGACAGTCCCCGAACCCTTTTACGCGGCGTCTAAGGGAATATTTTTGGTCGACAATACGGGCTCAGAGAACCTACGGTAAACTCCGCCTTGTGCCACATACATCACTCGTCGTGGTGGCGGTGGTGGTGGTGGTTGTGATGGGTGCTGTGAAATACCAGGCTGTACGGAATTGTCGAACTCTCTGCCTCGAATATAGAGGAACCCGGCGAGGCTTTGCCGTAGGGCAAAGTTTCGTCTGGGTTGGTAGACAGTCCTTGAACCCGTTTATGCGGCTTCTAAGGGAATATTTTTGGCTGAGCCACTGTAAACTCGGCCTTGTCCCACATACATCCCTCGTGGGGGGGGGGCGCTGTTAAATATAACAGTCGACCAGACTGTACGTAACTGTCGAACTCTGCCTAGAGTAGAGAGGAACACGGACGAGGATTTGCCGTAGGACAAAGTTTCGTCCGGGGAGGTAGACAGTCCCTGAATCCGTTTATGCGGGTTGTAAGGAAATATTTTTGGCGGAGCCTACGGGCTCGGAGAACTCACGGTAAACTCGGCTTCGTTCCATATACATCCCTCGTTGTGGGGCTGTTAAATATTAACAGCTGAATAGATCTGTTTCAGTTGTGCTGTTCAAACTCTCTGCCGGGAGGCAGAGAGGATCCCCAGACGACTCTATGTCGAAGGGCAGAGTCTAGATTCGGGTAAAAGCTACCCTACCCCGTTTTTTACGGGATCTATTTTGAATTTTTGGCCGAGCCTGGGGACTAAGATTTCACCACATCAAACTCACCCTTGTGGCACATGCTACCAAATGGGGAGGCTCGTGAATATAACAGTCGAATAGACTGAACGCTGGGTCATCCGACACAAACTCACTAGTCGTGTAATACGCTTATGTTGTACTTACTGTTTAATATATAATATATCTGTAACACTTGTTTTGCTATTTCTTTAACCATTTACTTGGTCACAACGCTAGCAGAGGAAATTCTTCAAAGAAAAAATATGTAAGGTGTTGGTCTATAATTATAATCAAATACTGCAAACGATTACGTAAGATCTCATATTAAATATGTGTCTGCATACATATATATATGTGTGTGTGTTATATATGGAGTATAAAAATTGCAGAAAATCGATGTATTCTTAGTTTCAAACACGCTCAGTACATTATGGCCCTGTTCATAATTAATGATATTAAGGGAGTGTCATATTTTTGATAATCAGGCTTCCATCACTTTTAAAAGTTTGACAGTGTCGTCTTCTGTGAGTAGGTGGCATTCTCCTCAGTCTTGTTCAACGAAACATGTATTAAAGAGGGATTGTTACACGAAAATCGAAATACACAATTCTATACAACCATATATATATATATATATATATCTGTGTGTGTGTGTGTGTAATTAAGTAATTCATCGAGTCTAGAAGAAACCTCAAGAGAATGCAGAAAGCACTGGACGTTTCGTCCTATATTTGGGACTCATCAGCAGTGCGCATCCACTACCGGGAATTGAAAGCCGCACTTTACAAATATCACACCAACGCGCCTCGGTGACGAAGAGATACTGAATTCGACTCGATATAGCGCCGATCGATCACATATTCCGTGGTGGAACTCATCCGTTTCCCTTACCCATAGGACTATGACCCCACGAGCCACGGCTACTATATCGAGTCTAATTCGCTACGTCTTCGTAGGCCCGTTGCTACCGTTGGCATGACGTTTGCCTGATGACGTAACTGTCCGGGTTTCAATTCTCGGTATTGGATGCGCACTGCTGATGAGTCCCAAATATAGAACAAAACGTCCAGTGCTTTCTGCATTCTGTTGAGTTTTCTTGTAGACTCGATATATATATATATATATATATATATATATATATATATATATTGGGAAATTTGAAAAAGGACATTATCACAAAAGAATGCTTGTAGAGACACTGTTCAGCATCATTGAAGTTGGGAAATGTTCTCAACAGGTAATTTACTATATATATATTTATATATATCTTTTCTTTTTTTACAGTTTACTATATATATATATATATATATATATATATTTATTTATTTTCATATATATCTTTTCTTTTTTTACAATTTACTATATATATATATATTTATTTTTTATATATATCTTTTCTTTTTTTGCATATTATTACACACTCAGCAACTCATTGTGTCTTTGTGGCTTTATTGTCTTACTTGGTGTGAAATGATTAAAGGCATCCGTACACACATTATCCGATCGAGAAGTTTTGACAGCATCTCCTGTTTAATAAATAAACGAAGCGTCTAAACAAATACGAGTATCCACTAAAATAAAGTTTAAGTATTAAAAATAATAGTAAAATAATAAAAAAAATCACCTTTTTTAAAAAATGGCTTTGTTTATGTTAGGATGCGAAACTGAGCAGATATGTCTATTTCGCGAGTCAGAGAAAGATCTGCGTTTAAAGGCACTATTCAATTTTTCTTGATCATCCAAAGCACTTCAGATCTAATTACAGTTTCCACTAGGGGAACGCAGGTTCGAATTCTGCCGAAGAGCGCATATTTTTCTCTAATTAAATTTCTCGAATATTCAGACGGGTAAACGAAAATAAATAAATATACGCTTTAATAAATAAGCGGAGCGTCTAATCAAACAAATAAAGATAACACTTAATATATATATATATATATATATATATATATATATATATATATTACTAAGCGTTATCTTTATTTGTTTATACGCACACGAAAAACTTAAATTCAGTTGAGCACTCTTGGAAGACAAGTGCAAATTTGTAAAAATTGACTATTACTGCTAATATTGCAAGGCTCTTCCTCCTCCCTGAATTGAGCTCTCTCGGTCAGTGGCGTGTTTATTCACAGAATGTGTACGTAAAAATTCGCCTTTCTTTCAATCGTGCACCGATGGCTCAGTCGGGTTTTCATCCCGGCTTGAAGCAATTACCAAAATATTATATAAGATAGAATGCTAACAAAGACTCCAAATTCTGAAGGCTGTTGTAATAAAAGAGACATTGAATGGAATAGCTTTCTGACCGTATACTGAACTGTATTTAGAAAGAAACGCACATAAAAAATTTCGGTTCCACCATTTATATCAAACAGGAAAATGAAAAAAAAAAAAAAAAATCTGTGGCGTAAATGGACACAGAACAATTCTTGAAAACGAAAGTAATCACATTTGAAAATAATTTCAATAAGAATACATATGAACTTTGGCAAATTTACCGATAACACACAACATCTATGTCATAAATTTGAAAAATTAAATTAAAAAAATTGATAGACAGAACTTGTCCATTCTATTTTGCTTGAGAGAATTATTGCTGCCGAAATACACACACACACACACACACACACATACACATATACACACACACACATAGACACACTCACACACATACATATATATATATATATATGAACCTTATATATATATATATATATATATATATATATATATATGTATTGAAACAAAATGTCTATTTTTGTAGTGATTTTATAACATGTTTATGTTATAATTTTTGAATAAATAATATTATATATATATATATATATATATATATATATATATATAGTACGATGGATAAATTGTTGTCTAAATTACGCAAAAATGAAAATGTTTTTTTCAGTAATTCTTACGAAAAATGGTGTTAAGATGGCTAAACGTGTTATCTGAAAGCCTGGAAAAAGCTCAATATTAGTATTTTTTTAGATATTGAACTTTTTCTGAGATGTATAATTATACTATTACTCAATTTCGACAATTTTGCTGTTACACCCAGTATATATATATGTATATATATATATGTTTGTTACCGATATATATATATATATACATGATTGCTATCGATTGTTATTGATACCGGTATTATTAGAAAGAACTGGTAGTTACAAGTTTCTAAAAATACAACTTAATAATTTATAATGGGTTCCCTGGACACTCGCTGCTGTATTTTCGAATGCTGGCATTGTACTTGGTAAAAGAATGAACGAAAATTATTGAATATTCCTCTCTACCTAGACTTCTTCGAAGCTGTCTTAGGAAAGATACAGTTTTTTAATCATATCACCCCATGCACGGTAGTGAAGCCACTGAGACGCAAGTGGTTACTGAGTGTGAAAGAACAAGAAAAAACAAGAGAAACATCAGGGAGAGAGAAAGAAAGATAACTAATCAAGACTGTAGATAACAGTTGACATTGCATTTAATTTTAAGATCAAAGTTGGCTAGAAAGCATGAAACCGGAAGAGAGTCCCACAAGAGAGAAGTGCGAGAAAAGAAACTGTTAGCTTTGAACTTACGGTTACATCTAGGCAATTCAAATGTGAATTGATGAGTTCTCTCCGGCAATTACCATGAAAGTATTTATAGAGAAGGCACAAGGAAGCTATATTAAGGAGGTTGGAAAATGAAGTCAGGACTAATAATATTTCTGATTCTTCTTTGGATTTTCTCAAGAATTGTTAGGAGGAGAACCGAACCATATGTGTTATGTCCGGTTCCTTGTACCACGGTGATAGTCAAAGGTAGAACCAATAAAGAAGAACTCGAACACGGATATGGAACAATAAAGATATATTACAAACAGGAATATATACAGAGAAGTAGAAAGTGTTAGAACGAACAATCAGGTTTAGTAGGGAGAACAATGTAGTCTCGACCAGCATCCAATGTCTTGCAGTAATTGTCTGAACGCGACTCTGTTTCGGACTGCCTCTGACTCGACTGACTGACAGACTCGCTCTGACTGACTGACAGACTCCTGACGGACCTCACTCCAGACTGAACTCTCTGCTTCCTCTTGAGGCGCAGTATTTATTACGTATGGAATAGTCAATTATGTTATTATGGGTAAGGTTCCGTAACAGCAGTAATATTCAAAGCATGGACAAATGATAGGCTTATAAATATGCAAGATAGATTCTGGAGAGTAAAATTTTCGAGCACGACCCAATGACCCATCTTTCTTAGCAGCAGACCTAGCAACGGATTCAACATATATCTATCTATCTATCTATCTATCTATCTATCTATCTATATATATATATATATATCAGCTGAGAATATTAGACCGAGAAGGCGCATACGGGTCACTCTCATGGAGGTTAGCGTCAACCACGCTGATGGGAGGCAGGAAACGGGTCTATCAATAGAGAGGTTTCATTTTGTAGGCTTTAAAATTAACAACCTAATCCTTGCTCCAGTTAACAACAAACTAAAGGTAATTTTTTTATCACCTGCCAATTTCACCTTATCGAACTGATCAAACTTATTGAGACAGGAGTAAATCAGTATAGATAAGTTGAGAACTGCATTAGTATAAAAATGATCTAGAAGAGTGGCCATTATAGATAACTTTCATTTCGCGATTAGATAAGGAAGATTGAATCAGTTCAAAAATTCGTCCGGAAATACCACAGCCTTTTAATTTGTGAAGAAGACCGGTATGCCGAACTCTGTAAAACGTTTTATTCACCTCTATATCTTCCACTCTCATCATCCCCTTTTCCACCCCCTTCTCTTCCTCCAGACGTATTTATATTTTGTACAACATAATATGATACTAGCTCCACGTGATTATTTAAGAAGCGTTGCATTGACAAGCAATAAAAATATAATACGTAAAATAAATATTATTTTTTTCTATCATTAAACAACAGACATTGATTCACTGATGCATTTTCATCCGAGTATTTTTGCAAATTGTAAACTGACTGCCATTGAGAAAGTTCATACGTTAAACTTTTACCCCCTATCGTTTGCCAAACTATTCTTTAACCCCCGAATCAAAACCGCAAGTGCAAGAAATGTTCTTTAATAGTCTGAAAGGTTTCAGTGGTTTTGTAACTTTTAATGACAAAGGAAAATTAATTAATGAATAAAAATAAAAAGGAAGTTACTACTCGAATTCTGAGAAAATCAGCGCGTTCTTGTTGAGCAAAGAAAATTTTCCATTGACATATTGTAACATATTTATGGAAGTCGTTTGGTTCTGAATAAAAGCAAAGTTCAAACTCTCGTCGTTTTTTTTTTTCGTTTTCTTTTTGTTGTGCTTTTCTTTCATTCTGTTCCCCCCTTCTTTGTCTTCTCCATTCTGTTCTTTACCACATCCTCTTCATTCTTCTTCTTTTTCTTCTTTTCTTATTCATTCTGTCTAATTCCTCCTCCGTCTTTTTCGTTCTGTTCCTCTTGCCCTCCACTGTATCCTTCAATGGCTTCCTCCTCTCTTCCAACTACTCCTCCACCGCCTTCTTTTTATTCATTTTGTTTCATTCCTTCTCCGATTCCTTCATTCTGCTCCCCTCATGCTCCTCTGTATTCTTCAATCTATTTTCCTCCTTTTTTAAATTCTGTTCTCGGTTTCCTCCGTCTTTTTCATTTTGTCCTCCTCCTTCGTCTTTATCATTCTAAATTCTATCCTCTTCTACTTTTCTTTCTTCATTCTCTCCCCTCCTCCTTCATCTTGTTCCTTTCCCCTCCTTTTTTCTTCTTCATTCTTCCCCTTTTCCTTTTTCTGTCCCCTTCTTCCTTAGTTTGTATTCTTTCTACCACCCTCCCCCATTTTCTTCTTCATTCTGTTCCTTTCCAACTCTTTTTATTTCATTTTGTCCTCCTTCTCATCCTTCAGATGTTGTTGACCTTGTCGTTCTTGTTCTTCTTTTTCTCCTTCTAATATTACTACTACAACTACTACTACTACTACTACTAATAATAATATTAATTTCAGTACGTTTCACAATTAATTAAATGAAACGAAAAATTAAAATAAACATGACAAAATAGATGATTTAAAAAAAAAATGAAAATAAATAAAAAAACAACAAAAGTTATCGAACAAAAATTAATTGGCCCGGTTCACGTTTATTGATTTATTAATTTTATTATTCTTTACATTTTCGAGGTATTTTGTAAAAGAAAAAAATGAATTTCCCATTTTTTTTTTATTAACTGCTGATTGAGCTTTCCCGTTTACTCAAAATCAATCAGAGTGTCTGAGATTGATTGAGCTTCATATGAGAAAAAAATACAAAAAGAGAAACTGGTTTGTTCGTAAAAACAACAAAAGAACCTCCTCCTTCTGGAACGTTAACATAGAAGAATATTTATAAAGATATAATAGTTAAACGTCGGAAATACGAAGCCTGGCCAAAACATAAGTCATATTTTGTTTAATCTAATTGTAAAAATATTTATGAGAATTCCAAGACGTTTTTCAACAATAAAATGCCAACAATCCAAGGGAAAATGTTTGTTCAATTATATTCGCCTTTTTATTTCAATTTATAAGGTGAAAATGATCATTAACCTAATGTAATCTTAATTCCATTTGTATGAAATATGTTGCTCTATTTAATTAAAACATTGAGCTGTAAGTGTGAATCAGTTTTAATATTGCATTAATAGGATTCACATGGATTATATACCAACGGATTATTACATATATATATATATATATATATATATATATATATATATATATCAAAAGATTAAATATCAAACGTTTATAAATCTAAAATGTTTCACTTTTATGAAAGCTTCATCAGAGAATGAGCTATGGAGAAGAATATATATATATATAAGTGAACACTGAGCTCAACCCCGAGCGGAAAGAGACAACAGACTGTTGCCGCTCGGTGTTGACCCCAGATTTCACTTTTATATTTGGAGATGCACTATCTCTCAATAAGCCTCATATAATTAATGAACTATTCCGTTTTGAATGCGAAGAAAGAAGGATGGAAAATGTATATCAGAGAAGCCCTGTAGTTTTTGTGATAAAAGGAAGGAATACATAATAACAAGAAAGAAAGGGATTTTAGAGGCCATGATAATACAATCAGAAGCTTAATGTCTGTTTCTAGAAGTAAGAAAGGACGAAAAGAAAATAGAAACTGGAGCAAAATGTATAAGAAAAAAAAAATGATTGCATTGAATGCTGGACAATCTTCTCACCGATAAAGAAGAGACTTGAAGCAACAAAAAAAAGTGTTTCTACAGAAGGATATGTGAATACCATGGACTGAAAATGTGAGCAATGGCGAAGTTTTAGAGAAAATGGAAGTAGAAAGAACACATACTTAGCATCAGAAAGAGACAATTGAAATTTGTAGGGCACATAATGAAAGAAAGAGGGCTAGGAAAATTTGATACTCACAGGACATATTGAAAGAAAGAGAGACAGAGGAAAACAATGCTTAACGTACCTAACGAGCTTATGTAAATGGATGGCAGATCGGAAATTAGGAGAGACGAAATTGACTAAGAGCCTGAAAGGACAGAAAATTGTGGAGAGCCATGATCGCACACGTCATGAAGTGACACAGAAGAAAAAAGAAAAAAACATATTAGTTTTGCTTTTTATAATTCTTGCTTTGTACTAAATGACTTTCAGTGATAATTCTTTATCATTAATGAAATATACAGTGACATTTTCATGGGCACTGAAATAATTACCTTACTATCAGGATATATAATTACTAGTATTAATATTTTATAGTAGTACTAATATTAATATTTGTGGGAGTGTCAGTAATAACGGTTGTGTCATGGCAGTCTGAGTGTTTATCTCGCAGCAGCCCCTATCAGCGTCTTCGGCATTTTTGGCGAATGCGAGAAAGCCGTCAAGTCTGCTTGAGTGGTCAGCACCTGCCAACATCGATTCGTTGGGCCGTAACTCTACGCTCAGTGCGTCGAGCGATTCCGGAGCGATCACTTCTTGCCTGGCCCTTTACTTGATGGCAAAACTAACGTTTCGCTTTGGCGATCAAGTTGGGAGTTTGGCCCGTCTGCTGTTCTGTAGAGAGATCAAAGCGGTAAATATTTTCGTTGGCCGTTCTGCAACTCGTTTTCTCATATGCACTAACACACTCTCGTTGTCTCAATTGCTGGCAAGCTCATTCACTAGCACATTCATTCCTTATTTCATTCGCGAGCTTCTTCTTTCATTCATTCTGTCTTCGATTTAAATTAGAATCTTATGTTGGCGTATTCAAGCAGGGCATCGTTCATTATCTGCTTTCATTCATTCATTCATTGTATTAAACAATCTTTAATGGAATGACTCAATCACACAGTCATTATTTATTTATGTTTTGTCTCATTTTTCATTGAGTGTTTTCGCTGCTCACTGAATACTTCGTTCAAACATTTCCTTTATAGTCAATCACATATATTTTCCATTAAAACCTCCAACAGAGATAATATATATATTACCATGCATTGATAGTCCTGGGTATGACGATAAACTATATCCGGCGTGTAACCACCTCTTCATTGATCTGTGTGGCAGCACCTGTTAGAATCCCAGCTATGGGTAAACAGTGAACTCCAAACAAAAACAAAAAAAACATGAAAGTATAAAAATGCAATTTTATAGTAAAATTACCAACAATACTGCTGTATCCTTAAAGAAGGTAAAAACAGACAAGGTGGTACTCGAGTGAAGGAACAGCAACACGCACGTAGATGAAAGAAAGAGAGGTTTTTTGTAAAAGAGAATACACTACTGAAAGACGGAATCGGATGGCAGGCTAATAATTCCCGAAGCAAAGATATTTGCCAACTGCCCCACGCGGTCAGATGTGGCACGTGGGGTACCGAGCCCGTAGGCGCGGGCAAAAATTCCCCGTAGACCCTGTAAAAAAGAGGAGGCTCGTCACTTCGGCATAGCCTCGTCTGGGTTCCTCTCTGCCCGAAGGCAGAGAGTTCGACTAGCTTAGCTGGAGACAAATCTCCAACTAATTCCCGAAGCAAAACCCCCAGCTATATCCTGTGCTCACTATATATAACTACTGATATAGTCAGTCCACATAGGCGAGTGTCGGACATTCCATTACAGCAAATATATATTTATATGAAAAATACCAGCAATACATATTTATAGCAAAATAACCTATAATACAATTTTAAAGCGAAATGGTCAGCAATACATTTATAGTAGATTTACCATCAATACATTTTATAGTAGAATTGCCAACACCACCATTTTCTTATGAGGAAATAGTCGACATTCATTGATCGAGCAATCTGTGCTATTTTACGTGTCACAAGTCCACTGACTGTTATTGCTCTTTCTATTAGTAATGGAGGCTTCCTTGTTAAGTTTTTGTTTGAATTAGTTGTTGGCACCCGTTTGCATCCGAGCACCGGGATCGTCATCCTTTCTCCCTTCTGGTGGCAGTGACGGAGATATCTCTGAAGGTCCAGCCTGCAATTGAAGATTTGTGAGTAGGAGTCACAGCGGACTGTGGATGGTGGACGATGTTGGGGAAGTCAGAACGTCGTAGATACGCTTCATATTGACGGTTGGACTCCAAAGTCTCGGTCCCACCCCAGATGGTCCTACACCATAAAGGCCGATTTGCAGCAACGGTTTGCCAGGTCTCAGGCTTCGATGTTGGCCTGTGTCAGGGCTGTTTTCAACTGATCCTTGAAGCGTCGTGTTGGGCCACCTTTGCCGCTGGTGAGTTCTTCAAACATAATATGTGGGAGTCGATTGTGACGCCTTCTGAACACGAATGTTTGAAGTACTTAATGTGAAACGTAAACATATTGATTACGTCATCATTCTGTTTTTGTATTTCATGTGATATCCATTTTAGTTGGTGCTTCAATTGAAAGCCCCAAAGTGACGATGCTTCTATTATTTGGTACAATTCTTTATGATTCTGTAGAGAGGGTCAAAGAATGATACTCCTCGCTAAGACCTATAAGTTTTAGATGTTCAAAGTCATTTTTAACCATTGATCTGAGAGTGTAGATATTTCTAAACGAGTTTAGCGCTATACATGGTATCCATATAAAAGTCTCGATCTGATGAGGCTATTTAAGAACTTGAAGTTTTTAGGCCAATCTTTTCGTTTTGTAGCAATTTGCGGTTTTGGGAAAAACTACTTCAAAAGCATCCTATTCTAATTTCAGTTTCCTTATCTTCTATATAAATTTGTTATAACTGACATATACACTTACGTATTTGAAGTGCTTAGTATTAATGAATTACACTTCCTAAATTTTTATTATGAATTCTGAGTATATACCCTCACTGCTTTCAGTTGATATATGTTATTGAATTAGAAAACAATTTCTCCTGGTGATTTTGAATTGAAGAGATTTCTTTACAGAAACGAGTTTGTATGTGTCCGCCAACAATGGTGGAAAATTAAGTAAATCGGTCAAAATAAAGATGCTATCACAAGAGCAATGACGCAATTTCACTATGATAGGTAGGGCTTTTTTTTTTTTTAAATCCTATTGTCGATAAGTTCTCTTAAAACTTCCTCGGTCAACCGCAGACGAGACGATTGATTGCCAGGACAACAAAATTGGAATCTGAGACAATGTCTAAATATCTTTATAGACATTATATCATTCTCTCCTCTCTCCCCCTTCTCTCCCTCTCTCTCTCCCCCTCTCTCTCTCTCTCTCTCTATATATATATATATATTATATAAATATATTTTTTGATGTAAACGAACACTCGTTGCCACTTTTGTAAGGCCAATGAATACTCGTTGTCATTTTCTTAATGTTCGTTGCAGTAGAGACTTTGTAATCGAAGATGCAACTACAGTACGCCGTTGAATAATGCTGGTGTCAAACGCCTTCGAATGAGTCTCGCACTTATAGTACTTGTTCGATAATACTCGATCAAAAAGTACTCCGTATAGTGATCCG